AAAGAATAAGTTTTAAATATAATCTCTTGTCTGCTTTTGATTTAGTTTTCTGTGTGAATTCTATTTCAAATTATATTGTTTATATCTTGAATCTTCTGTGTGAATTTTTCTGATATAATATTATATCTGATTCTTCTTTGTGAATTATTTGGATATATTACACCACGTAACTAGGAAGGTTACAATAATATTATATGATTTATTTTAAATAATAAATATTTAAATATTATAAAAATTTAAAAATAATAATAAAATTAATATAAGTGATAATACTATAAAAAAAACTTTATATAGATATGATTTATTAACAAGTATTAAATAAAAGAAGTCTTATTTAAGTAAAAAATATTAAAAATTATATTTAAAATTTGTAAAAGTATATAAAGATTAGTAAATAAAGAATTAAAATAAGATTTTTTAATTAGATAAGTCAAAATTTATATTATTTAGATCAAATAGTTATAAATATTATTAAATAAATCTCTTAATAATTATCTTGTAAAAGTCATAGTTAAATTTAATAATAATAGTATTATAATTTAAAATTGAAATATTATATGAATTTATAATATTATAAATTAAGAATTATATTATAAAATATTAATAAAGGACTTATTAAGAACTATCAAATATAATAAATTAAATAAAAATAATATTATTTTTATATAAGATAATAATCTGAAATATATAATTAATAAAATAATAAAATAATTTAAAGATAATAAAATTAATATAATAGAATAGCTATTTTAATTCTTTAATTTAAATTTAATTGAATATCTTTAGAATAAAATAGATAGATATCTGAAATGATTAGATATACTAATTAATAATTAGATCAATTATAGAATATTATTCAATAAATTTGAATTATAATGAATAATAAATTTATAACTTGACTAATTGAAAGTATACATAAGCAAATAGATAATATAATTAATACTAAAGAAGAGTATACTAAATAATAAAGAATATTTTATTTAAATTTTATTAGATTTTATTTATTAGTTAGTTGGCAATAATATTTTAATTTTTATATTTTAAATTAATTAAAAGAAATATATTAAATAAAATTATATAAATCTCTTTTTTTATTATATTAATGATTATCTATAAAATTATTTTTATATATTTTTTAAGCTTTATTAATTATGTATATTTAAATTTATAGATCTTTAATATATATATATAAAGTTATTAAACTTTTAAATTTATTATTTAAATAATATAAAATATTTAGCAATCACTGTATTTTAAATTTTATAAAAATTAAATTAATAGTTATAAAGATATTAAGATTTAAAGTTTAGTAATTAAATTATTTACTAAATAATTTTTATATTAATTTTAATTAAAATTTATATAGTAAAATTTAAGAAATAATAATTCAAAAAAGTTATTATTAGTAAAATTTTTTTATAAAAGATATATAACAAAAATTTTTATATTTAAATAAATTCTAATATTTAATAACTTAATTAAATAAGATAAACTTAAAATTTTTTTTGAAAAAAAATCTATTAATATTTATTTAAGATATAAATCTTTTTATATCAGATTATAACTTATATTTAATAATTATGCTTTAACTAATTAAGCAAAATTATTTATTAAATATTAAAATAATTATTTACTAATTTCAGTAAATTTAAATAAGTTTTCATGAAATTATTACTATTTTTATAAAATTTTTATTCTGATAATTTTATAAGAATATATTTAATAATCATAATTAATTCTGAAATAATTCTAGCAATATTTTAATAGGTTTTTAATTAATATAATAAAATATTTTCAGAAAATTCTAGTAAAATTTTCAGTATATTTAACAAAATATTTCTAGAAATATTTTGTAATTTTGATTATAGTATTAGAAAACTTTCAGATTTATTATTAAAAAACCTGAAAAATTTCCTGATAATAAACTGGAAATTTTCTGAATGAAAATCAGACTTTAATTTTTTACTAAATAAATAAAAATAATTTAATTATATTAAAATTAAAGTAATATTTTAATAATTACTTATAATTTCTTTTGAATTGCTTATATATAATATAACTTTTCTTATATTAACAATTTATTAAGATTATAAATTGAAATATTATGATATTTAAAATTATTTCATCTGAATTAATAAAGTTTTACTATTTGAATTGTTAATTTGATTTTATAATATTTGTAATTACTATCTTAGTATTGAATATTACAATTATAAATAATGTAATTAATATTTTTATTAACTATTTGATTTGTTATTTATTTCTGTTATAAGTTTTAGTATAGAAAGTCTTTATTATAAAATATTTAATTTCTCTTTATTCTTTTATCCTTTATTATTTTCATTATTCTTGTCATCTTTCTGTTTGCACAATAAGTGTCTTAGATTTTCCCTCTATTATAATAGTAATAGTCATAGAATATTAGATATTCTTTTACTTTATGATCTATTTTCTATCATAGTTTTATACTTCATCTCTTACAACTTTTTTTCAATGTTTAAATAATTAATTTTAGGTATTCAATCTTATCAAACTCATTAAGAAAGAGGATCTGTAACACTAAGAACAAATGAATACACTCTGCTTTGGCACCAAACTTTTATTGTACACAAAATTTGCTAAATCTTTATGTAAGCTCGTTTGAATATTTACAAAATAATTTGTTCCAATAAAAATTTACATTGAATAATTTATCTTATGCCTTATGTCTTTTAATTGTTTAACAGGAAAAAATTTAAGCTTAGCTCTGAGTAATTAATAAAATAGAAGCGCATAAGTTCAAACTCAAACGAATAAAAGCTTATTAAATAGTTTGCTCCGTTAGCATCATAAACTATAAACTTAACTCTCCGTCACAACCTAATTCAATAATAGTAATCTCGCTTTTAGGTACATACCACTCGTTAGCAACACTTAACTCACTCGTTAGTGTCATCAATGATGGATTTGGTGCAGTTATACATGTATTATCGTTAATAAATGTTTTCGAGTTTTTGTTTTTTACATATTTTTTGCTTTTTCCGATGATGCTGCGTGAAGGTTTCTTAAGTGAAATTTGTGATTTCTTGAGTGATACTTGAATTGCGTTTTCAATATCTTTAGTACTATAATCGTTGTTATCGTTGTTTTCTTTTTTTTTAATGTTTTGTAATTTAACCGTGTTTTTTATTATAAGCGATTCGGTGGGTTCATAATAAAAGCATGGAAGAAGTAACGCTGCCGAACGACGTGTTCCAAATATTAAAAAGAGTGAAATTCCGCTGATACCATTTGCAAGATATACGTCGCTTGTTAATTTTCTAACCTTGCGAGAAAGGGAGTTCATATGATATAAATTAAAAAACGTACACAATGCTCCCAGAATATTCTGCAACAGTGAGTTCATCATTATCCGGAATATTTTTCGCACGCTTCACAATTCTTGGGACGGACGCAATTGAAAGAAGGAAGATATAAACAAGACAGCAAACTAAAAATCTAACAGCTTGTCCCAATTTTATTGCTGCTCCTCTATTTTGCTGTCGCGTGAATATTCTCATACGTTTGGCTACTAGAAAGCATGAATAAACTGAAAATCGATGGTTAGTAAACGCGGAGAATCAAAGATGCAAGCAACACACTTAGATATAGATCTCTCACAGGTAAAAATTACACCGAAAAAAATCATTATAAGGGTCGGCGCCAAAAATTCCAGCCAAACCTGCATCGTCCCTTTACAATACAACCGATTAACATCTACATCCCAATGGTCCGACCTACTCGACAGTCCCAATTTCACCGCTTGATAAATGCTATTCAGTCCCCATATAGCGATTGAAACCCACCGACAATGCCTCCGCTCAATCATAAAATCATTTCGCGCCAGCGCGTAACAAAGATAAAAAGTCAGTGTTGAGCCAAATAACTGTAAGGGGTAAAAGAAAAATTGTCCGATTTTTTGCACAATTATGCACAACGGGGATTCAAATGCGCGCTCTTTTAGTTGATCGCCATATAATAATATGGGAGGAAGATTTGGCAATTGATTCAAAAATGCGGATATACATAATTGTAAAAGTGTCCATTTTGTAAAATATCCTTTTGTTTTTACTATTTGCGTCATTAAAAACATTAATAGTAATGCGCCTATTAGCTCTAGAACAATGTACAATATTACAGGCGCTGAGTATGTTGTCATATTATATATCAAAATAAAAAAAAGTTTCAGAGACAAAATGAGAAAATGATCGTTCCTTCTTTTTTTTTGAATTAGCATTTTATTGAACTTTGCTCGTAAATGTTTCGTGTTCGTCTACTTTAAAATAAGATGCAAATGTACTACATGCACATGTAAAGTCTATGCTTTCACAAAACGCAATCTTTTCATTAAGTTACAAAAATTCATTTACATGTACATGTAACTATTTCTTGTTTAACGTACGTGCAGGTGCGCCCATCGAATGATAATACATGTATTGGTTAGGTAATTGAAACATGTGGATTGCCGCTACGTTATCGTTATATCGATATTAAATATGTAACATTAATTATCGTACTTGATAACGATAATCAAAGTGTTTCATTACGATCAATATACTCCTTTGGGGGGTTTTAATAAACCTTATTTCTGTTCATTACATCACTTTCGAATCTTATTAATGCATGTAAGCGACTGTTGTAGTTGTAACCGGAATATTTTTAAATTCCGTCATAAAGCTTAAAAATGACGAGCAATATGGTATGGTTCGATGAGATTCCAAGAATAAATAGGGGGTTTAGAATAAAAAATTCGAACTGCTGAATCATGCATTTTAAATACAATGAGAGTTCGTTACAATACACTCTTTATAATAACACCAAATCTCTCCCCTGTTCTCATTAATTAATAAGCTCTCATTGTATTTATTTCTTCGATAGAGTAACATCTCACTATAATAATATAAAATCTCTTCCTCGATCACGTTATTGAATCGAGCGTTCACTATACACATAAACCAGAAAGGGTTGTCAGTTTAGTAAGCTAATTACATCTTGCAATTTAACCTTAAAAAACCAATAACAATTCTTTATAGAATCAAAAGAAAGTTATGGCTACTTCTACTCTTTCTATAATATCTACATAACATCAAATTTCTATGCCTCTTATAATACTAATAAAAATCAAATATTTTGCAAAGTGGGCACTTTTCCAAAGTATTCATATCAGCTTTCGTACTTTTATCAAATCATCGAATTACTGCAATTCTCATATATGATAATGTACTACCAAATTGGGCATTTGATGCGCGTAATATGCATGATTTTGGTGATTTTTTTATACCGATACATGTATCGATCGATATCATTCTTCCGTGATTTCTATCTTTTTGGGTAACGATGACGAAAAAGAAGACATTGATCTAATACATTTCTGTGGAATTCTGACAAAATCAGTCTCTGACAAATTATCTGTGCTGATACTGATGCTTTTGTGGAACGGCATCCATTTTTTGCCTGTAAAAATTTTTGGTTTTTAAGTTGTCATACTTAAAAAAACACAAAAAAGGCTAATTATTATTCTTTTAGAAAACAGGTCGTTCTTGTTTTGTATTGGTGAATTGGCAATGATCAAACAACTGAAATAAAACTTGGAACATCTGTTCGTCTTATAATTTACAATTTAGTGCATGGTAAAGAAATTTCTTACAAACTTTGGTGTTCTTTTAATGTAAGTAGGGATCAATATTCCCGATACAAAGTGCCCATACTCATGTATAATATTAATTTCAGTGGCGTTAATTTATTTTTAATTTGAAGCCGAGCGATCCGCGGCAATCTGTCAGATCGCGCACTGCTACCAGAATCGAATACTTTCATTTCGAAAATCACAAACAATGAAGCAAAGCAAAGCATCATAGGTCCAAACAATTAAACAAAAGTAAAATAATGGAAGAAATTGCGAGAGTTTTTCAACATGAAAGCGCGCATATTGTAACCTAGACGCCCATTTGCACATGCATTTATATGTACACGTTGATACACACATGCATAAGATACAGTTACATTTTATTTTTCGCGTTATTAATAATAAATATAATAATAGATTAACGATAATGATATAATGGATAATATTACAAGTTAATTATATATTATAGAATTATTATATGTGAATTTAGTAATAGTAAGATATTTATTCTAGTAATCTTAATTATAAGTTAAATATATACATAGTATTTCTTTTAAAGTATAATTTATTCTTTTAGTTTGTTCATCTATTTGTGGGTAAAATATAGTTAATATAGCTAATTTAATATCAATTTATTTAAAAAGAGATTTCTAAAAATGATAAAAATTTTTGTTTTTGATTTATATACCCGACACATGTATAATAAAAATATGAAGTGCAGTTACTCCTTGATGTACACTTAAACTATATGTACAGTATATAAATAAGAGGTTCTTTTAGAATTCTTTTTATCAAACCAGAAAAAATCCATCAGAATGGTCGCAATGCGGATGACTGATCTTTCTAGATTCAAACGCCTTTATCGTACTTTCCAAAAAAGTATCGCTCAATACTTATGTAATTTATGCAACATGATCTCGCAGGTTAATTACGTATCTATATTTAGAAAAAATGCGTCAATTTATGTACATGTGCGCACCGTCTACTATAATAATGTTATTATTTTAATAAGCATATAAACATAATAATCTTGTATATATTGCACTATAATTGAAACGGCCTAGAGTTATGTGAAATTTGATGCGGCATACTAGAATTTGACAAATATTCTCGCAAGTTTTTAAAATGTCTTCTTTCTTACAACATATTTGCGACAATAGAACCTAATAAACACTTGTACGATTCTGATGTTAAATAAAAATTGACATTTAATTGAAAAATAACGTAGCCGATATTGTTCTAAAGTATGTCCCTTGAATTTATTATTATCTTGATTATTACTCGATTATTGCTGCTGTGATCAATTTAAATTTATCGAAGTAAACTGACTTTAAACGCGCTGTTATTCATCACTTTCCTTTGATTTTGTTTTGTGAAATTGATATCAATGACTAATGATTGGTGCTTTCCCAATTCTGCACTATGAGCACACTATACACACATTAATGTCCTTTATCAGTTTAAGAAATTCTAAGTTATAATCGATCGATACATGTAATTAAAAAACGTTATTTTTTATTGGATGTGTCTTTGTTTTTACTTCTCTGTTTATTTTCGTTTATCTTATTCTCTAATATTCATTTTGCGTCTATATCATCTATTAGAGTAAGGAAAATATTTAATCGAGACTTGTTACATTTTAAAATGCAAGATAATTAACCATATCCAGATCCAGGCGGTTTCGTTTGGCCGTTACATGATTTTCAGCGCCGGGCAAAGAAGCTCGTTAGGTACAGGTGATGAAGATGTCGTTAAGTGCTTCTGTAAATTTTTTTCAATAGAGAAAATTTAGAATTACTTACACTCCATCATTATTATTTTATAGTTGTAGCTTGCTGTGATAATGACCCAATTCATTTCAGTTCGTGTTCCTCTTTTTTAGCAAATGATCCAAGAAATGATAACATTTCTGAAAATTCATTATAGGTTCAGGTTTACTTTGGATTAGGGATGTTATCGGTTTACACAAACCACGGTTCGAACCGGTTTGGTTTAATCTTAAATCAGATATTTGACCGATTCAAACCATGGTTTAAATCAGATACAGTGGCTCATGGAAGAAATGGAACACGGGAAAAAAATTGGCGAGATACGAATATCTCGCCATTGAAGAGTTATACGGAGTCAAAGGTAGGTGCATTTTATTCGTTAAAATGCTGCTCATCAATCAATGCAAATTTTA